AATTGAGTCATGACGCAATTATTTTTGAGGATTTTGAGAATTGAGTCAACAGCAAAATAATTTACACCACATGTATATACTATATATATTATAAATAATTATATAAATATTAGTATTAAAAATTAATTAATAATTTGATAAAAAATAAATAAAATAAAATAAAAGTATTTATTCTTTTACAATATATCAAATTTCTTGTTAATAATATAAAAGAATTTAGATTAATTTATAAATTTTTTATTAAAATTTTTCAAGTTAAAAATATTGTTAAAAAATAATCTTGAAAATTTGTTTTGAAAATTATAAAAATCTATAAAAAATCAAAACATTAGAAATTTTAACAAATTATTAAGATAACTGGATTATATTTGATTTTTTAAAAAATTAATTATTTATAATCAATTTAATATATATAATATATTAAAAAAATATTATAAAAATTTCTATATCAATATTTATTATTAAATAAATAAATAAAAATTTATATAATTTTTAAAAAATATTTTATATTTTAATTTTGTATCAATTTCTTAATAACAATAAATTTTATTTAAAAAAAAGTTATAAACTAAAAATAAATAAATAAATTCTTATTATAAAAAATATATCAGGTTTTGAAAACTTCAAATACATAAAAAATATTTCATAAGTTATTATAACTTGTTTTTTATATTTTAAAAAAATTTATCTCTAAAATTTTGATGATTGCAAATTATTATTTATGAAATTGGAAATATACTGTAAGTATAATTCCCTAAATTAAAAATATGGCAGATAATTTTATAACAAAAACCTTTACAGTGATCCGTCATACTTGTATTTTAAATAAAAGGAATAGGTGATTGGATGCGAGAGTATATCTTCGGGGCCTTTGTGAAATATTATTTCTTTTTTGATTCGGGATTACTGTATTCGACAACAAATATTTTTATTAAATTACAAATAGATTTTTTTTTTTTGAGAAACAAACAAGTTTAAATTGAGAAATGATGTTTATGTAAAAAGCCTTTATTGTGAAATTTTCCGAGAAACACCTTGTTTAGTAATGGAAATAAAAAAAGTGACGAATGCCGTTTAATGGAACTTTAAGGGATATAAAAAAATAATTGACTCCATGAAGCAAACGATCGTATAGATTAAACAGTTGGATTTTAAAAAATTTTAAAGTTTCGCATCAAGACTATAAAAAAAGAAACCGAATATATATATATAAGGATGAACTTCACTTAAATATACTCTTAATGTAGTATGACGGATTTTTACAATGATATCTTTCTAATTTCATCAATAATTCGGCTCAGGATTTCAGAATTTATTAATGTTTAGGGAAAGAAAGAGTTTTTTTAATGATGCCGACTTTGCAATTTCGCTGTTTCGTTGTCAGCGTTGCTTTTAAGAATCCTAATAATCTTAGAAAACATATAAAGCTTAACGACTCATCAAAATTAAGTCGAGGTTGAAAGATTCACGAGTTCATTTGAGTACAAACGTGAAAACAATTTGTCCTCAATTCTCAAGAAATTATTCGATAATTTCAAATTGCATAATGTAAGGAGTGGATGGTTATACACCGATTTTTTTTGATTATAAAATTTCCCTTTCACTCAACATACACATCTGGTGACCCGGAACACAAGAGCATTTTCTTGATGTAATCCTTCTTCCCAATGCTCCCCCTGCTCCACCTTTTCTTATCATGCTCATCACTCCCAATATCAGCACAACTTCTCACATCCTCATTTATACTAGCCTGCGCGTCGTACTCTGAATACTCGTTATCGCTATACACGGATTCATCCAGAATATGATTGTTGCTATCGATCTCCACGGGTAATGGAGATTCTGGTAATAGATAGTTTTCCTCGAAGGCAGATGAAGTCCGAATTGGATCATAGGCAATGTGAGGTCTCAGACATACGCTGTCGACTGACTGTCAAGATAGAAGGGAGACGTAAGATTACTGAGGATGATGTGATGATTGGAAATGCAATTACTTACAAAAGGGCCTTTATTTTTTGTTTTACTAGAACTTTTTCCAATATTTTGTTCATCCTCCAAATAACAATTTATAGCCGTGTGAACCTGATAACGATAGTCAACCGATTGCTCTTTCCTGGCGATGACGACCTTAAAGGGTAGTCTGAAATTAAACCATCCTTTGTCAATCATATGGGTGAAATCATCGGAATTTGGGGCATAATAGAACTTTGATTCACGTTCGTATGAGCTTAGGTAGATGTTGTGCTGTTTATTGATAAAATGAAATGGGAGATTGATCAATAAGAACAATTAATTGGTTTGTAAATATCTCATGCAGGAGACTGATGAAAACATACACGCAACCAAATATCCGTGTTAAAAATGACAATCGGTTTGAGCGAGGATTTTTCAATTCTCATGCACCATATAACGTCGTAAACTCCCGGAGGAACATTGCTTATTGTCATTTCGATCTATTACAAACCATGATTAACGATTATAAGGTGAGCATTTAGGAAGAAAAAACACATAAATGCATTGCCGTGAGAAGGTTACTAACCGCATAGGATCGTTGTTTTTGTTTGATTTGATTGTAAGCACTGAAAAAGAAAAAAGAAGAAAAAGATAAATAAAGATTTTCGGAAAGAGGATAGAGATGTTATGACAAGTAAACGCAACACGCACCTTGTATCTCTTATGTCGTTATCTTTATAATCAAAATTACGGTATTTATAAAATGATCCGGGATGACCCTTGAAGATGGCGGTTTTTGTCGAGACATTTACCGTGGCTAATGAATGATATCGTGAATAAAACACATCGCATAAACTAGGTAGAACTCGTGTGTTTGTGTCAGGAAGAAACTCGATAAGGATGAACTTACACAATCTCATGAACACCTTTCTCCAATCAGGATTTTCAGACACTTGTTTTCTTGTAGATTTCGATTTTTTCCATTTTCCCTTGGTGTTGACGGTGTTTACTTGCATCGACTCCTCTTGAACAGAGACGTCACCATATTCATTTAATAATATTTGTTTCCACAAGTAATTATCTTGCGTGTGATATCTGAGCTTTTTATTGACCTATTACAAAAGTGATGAGATCAGACAAACGAAGAACGGGGTCACAACAGAAAAGAAGGGCACATACCATGGACAAGGAAATTATTTCTGTGGGTTCCAAATGTTCTAGAATGTTCATCATAATTTCGTGAGGCACTTTACTGAAGCCATCCTTGCCCGCGACTGATCTCTCACCGTGTGATGAAGATGGTCGTGAAAGTACAGCTGACGCACTGAGTCGACCACCCTCACTTCGAGGGGTGATTACATCCACGTTTTGATGTGTGTCAGTATTCGACTGGTCGCTCGTGCATGCTTGATCATTCGTATTATAAAGTTGTTGTTGTGCAATTAGGCTTTCTTCCAAGAACGGACGCCTCCTCATTTGATACTGTGCCGGCCATGTTTTGAAATGAAGTCGCTTTCTCGAAGTTGTGGGAGGATAATAGACAATTGCTAACCCATCAAGTCGTTGCATTGTTACTTAATCAATTAAAACCATCGAAAAAAGAAATCGCAAGAAAACTTTTCTGGACTAGCATATACAGTGTTATTATTATATTAGGATGTGTGAAATAAAAGGGTAAGTCAAAGGTGTGAAAATGATTATGATTTTTTTATTTGAAAACTCTTCGGAGGGAAATTTACATTTGTGGTAATTATTATTGCCAGTGATACGGTAGTCGTGCTAGTCAACCACACGTTTTTTTTTGTTTTTTTTTCGTCAAACCGGAAAACTGGTAGGGAGCAAGGCAACTTTTAATGAAAGAGCTTAATTAGAAATTTGGAAAGAGAAGGAGAAATGTGTAAAGCCAAAAGAATCATAAGATATTTGGTTGAAAGAGAGAAAAAAAAAAGAAGGAATTTTTTTCTTGGTAAATGTTTGTTGATATAAATAAAATTCTTAAAAAAGTTATTAAATACGATTCGTGTGTGTCGTGCGACAATGTAACAAGAGAAGAACCTTAAAGTTTTAATACTAAACGAACCAATCAACAACAAACAAATCCTGTTTTTGTGTATCGTAAGCCTAAAAATGTAATAAAGGGATTTTCCGAATGTACTATACAAGATGCTACAGCAGCAATTACGAATTAAACTTTCGAATGTACTCTCATGTATTACTAACATATACGTACGTGTTGACCGAGCGTGCTCTTTCGGAACGTCGTGAACGTAATTTATCTCCGACCGATTTTTCGGCAGAAACTTTCTATCGCTACTTTCGAGGTATTGTTATTTCCCTTTTCCACGATGGCCTCGATATGTCTTACGTTGCTCAAAGATTTTGAACAACAATCTGTGCAGCGATACGTATATTAATTATAATCATAAGCACATACATATTTATCTACATAATATAGCCAATCATTAAATTAATGTGGGGGAATATATTGCATAATGATAATGAATTACGCAATGCATGATGGAGCAGTCAAAAAAAGAAAAAAAAAAAAAGTCGGGGATCCCGTTATTACGTACTGTATTTACAGGTTCCATAGACAATAATCAAACACTTAGTAGTTTACTAGTTCGGCTTCTTATTTAAAAAAAAAATGCCGACACGTGCAATCAAGGTAAATGGTCCTAACAATGTTTTGGAAACTTGAACAACAAACGGTATGGGAAAATTCTCGAAAGTGAACTGAAAAAATTATATTCTCCTTTTTTGAACGTGAGAAAATCCAGAGTGTCAAATCTATACCCAAATGAGTAAATTGCACACGAAACGGTAAATTTTTTATAGGCATCGTTTTTTTTCTAGTGCGCAATGATAATTTTACGCGGTTCATTCGTGTATCATTTAGGCCCGGTGATTATAAAAGAAACATGAGTAAATGCGTGCCCAAGATAAAAAAAAAAAAGCCTATCGGATGATGCATTCATTGAGGACAACATTGACCGTCTAAAAAATCTTCACCCCTACGATGCACCAAACATCGTACATGTAACTTGACACCAACGCCAATATCATAATATCGTAATCACACCAATTGGCATCCATTTTCAGAAGAATGCGACTTAGGTCAAATTTGGTAAGGTGTAAAAAAAAAAAAAATTCAGGATTTTCGTTCGTTATTCTTCTATACGTCCATTCTTTGGTTTCCATATTTAGTTATATAGATTTGAGCAGCTCCTTTTTGGCAATCGAGTTGTCACCTAACTTCAATGATCATCACATTTATGAAATCATCACGCTATTGGTGGCTTCTAAAATTAAATTATGTAATACAGGAAGGTAAACCAATTGTAGCATTGATACTTCTCTTTTCAACCTCCCGATTTACTTATTCATGATTTCGAAGCAATTGATGCATTATTATTGAATGAACTCGAAATTTCAGAAAACCTCTATTCAATGAATTCTCGAATGCATGATAAAATCTTTCTTCAGATAATCAGAAGACCCACCAGAATGTTGGTTTTACGAATCTAATTTTTTTTTTCTTTGCAAATGAGTTTTTTTTTTTAAAGTTGCGAAACAGAGTTTAATGCGTGGACGAATGAGGCTGGATGATGATGAGAACCAAATAATGACAAATGCATGATATCAAAAAATGTCGCAAAAGTGGACTTATACTAGATATGCTACAATAAAAAGATGTGATCGCAATTTTAATGTGTCGTATATTATTAAGGTTCAAAAATACATCCAAGTTTTAAGATTCGGCATTTTATTATCAAAAACATTGTGATGGTAGCCATCTACACCTTGAATTTAAGTATTGATTAATATCAATCATTGATTTAGAATCGGACGTATGTTGCCTTTTTCTTTTTTGGGACGGTAGGAACAACCACGACCGGCATCTTATCTTGTGGAATCCGGAAAATTTCTGATTCTTCGACGTTTACGTGATCTTGTGCATTTCGTCCTGAAATCAGCTGATCATCTTGATTTCGTTCATTTCTGACTTTAGTTGAATGTAATTTTTTTGGTCCATTCACACCCCTAGCCCACTTCGAGGATCCGGTTCTGATCATCTTTCCCCGTGTCTTACTGTTTGGTAGTTCTTTGATTCTTTCGAGCTCCTCGAGATCTCTTTTACCTCTCTCACGCTTGATAGACCTTTTCTCAGCTTCCCGCTCGTCATCCATTTCTCTTTTTCTAATGACACGATGGTTTCTTTTCCTACTCCCAAGTTCGGATTCTTCACTTACCACCCTTTTCTTCCTCCTTATTGCAACATCTCCATTCCTTCTTTCGTTGTCCACAACGTTTCGTCTGCCTTTCTCCCCATGTTTCTTATCTTTGTGAACTCTTTCATCATCATCATCATCATCATCATAATCACTATCTTCCTCCCAACGACTCCTTCTCCTATCCATCGTCATTTTCCTTCTGGTCACATCTTTCTCATTCGTTCCTATGTTTCTCTTTTTCTTACCCTCATAAACAAATTCGTTCTCCTCTTCTTCCTCGTCGTCCTCGCTATCCAAAATACAAACCTCAAATTCCTTACGCCCGATTTTATCCACTACACGGTGATTCCCTTCAATGCCTTGTTTAAACTCGAATCCTTGTTCATCGAGAAGATAAATCAACGTGTCGATATAAACTATTTGTTTGGCTGCTTCTTCCAATGGAAACATTGATTCGCGAATTGTTGAATATCGTTCTCTTGCTCGCTCACGGATAAACGGTGGGACGATGTCTCTCCTACGTGTGGTTTTTTTACCTGCGAAGGTGGTGGGAATTGCGGAAAAGAAACTTTCGGTCATGGCGTATCTTAGAGAAAGGGAAAAGGATCAAGAAAGTGTGGAAGAGAAGTAAGATTCAGCCGATGGACATGCGAAATTGTTTCTACTGTTAACAATATTATATTAGTAACACTGGTGAAGGTCAAACAAGAAACGGTATCGCCCCGTGAGCGTGGTCGCCATACAAAAATAATAAAAATAACAAACTTAATTTTTATCAATTTCCGTCTTAATGGATATCACCAAAGAGTTCGGAGTTGTCTTGAGGGAAAAAAATATATTTAACATGCAAGTATTTATCAAGAATGTCCTTTTTTTTTTTTTGAAATGTGATGACTCCTTGCATGACATGTAAGATTTTTATGCAATTTCAAAGTGTATATTAAATTCAAGGTGCGAAAATTGATCTTTGGCTAAATCAGTTGATTACGCTGAAAAGGAGTTCGTCATTACGTCGAAACAGCATAGCGATTATACAATTTCGTAATCGAACTTTGTAACATCACATTGAATAAAAATACACGTAATAATGCACGATTTGGTGAGTAATATCTAAAATGTTATAAAAGGTCACGGCGTTTACCTATGTCCATCTGTGAATCCGTATTCCTTATCCGCGAAAATGAGTCGATTCTGTCATCATGCCCAGTAGTCGTCAACAATTCTACCCGGTCAATGACATCTCTAATTTATTCAGATTAACCATCATCAAGAAAAATAAGAGGATCTATTCCCAACAAGATCTCATATGACAACAAGAACTCTTGCATGAATACCCAGAGCATGAGTTCATCAATAATATCACATCAAGATTCAACTTAAGTATAAAGAGATTTTTATGAAATGGTTAGTATAAACTACAATCTATGATTTTTAGTACAGATATTTTAGACATATTTTATCCATTATTTATTAAAAACTTGTTTCCATTATTATTATGGAAGTCATATTTACAAGAACAAACAGAAGTGTGATGATAAAAATTAAATTAGCAAAACAAATAATCAAGTAAATAAATATTATATGTTTGATATATATAAAAATGGGTTTAAAATTTAATATTGTATAAACTTATGATGAACAATAAAAACTATAAGCTTGACATCAATATATATTAAGTATTTTATTTATAATATTTTTTTAAATAAAATTTAAATCAAAAAAAAATTTTTTATTTGAATTTAACAAGTTCAAATAAATACATAAAAAGTATAATGGATTAAAAAACATTCTTATATCTTTATTAATTATTAAAAATCAAAACATCATTATTACTTTATCAAATAAATTAAACATGTATTTTATTTATGTATAAATATCATCAAATAATAAAAATAACATTAAATAAAAAAATATAATAATCAATATCAACTTAAATTATTACATATACTGTATTATGATTTTAAAATAAATTTTATTAAATTTAAAAAATATATTGTAATTTAAATTATATAACTTTGTATAAATCATATAATAACCATTAGAATAAATAATTTATAAAAAGGATATATTTTTAATTTAAATAAATTTAACTTTTTGTTTGAGTTCAATAAATATCTCTCTTTAAATTTATTGTTTAATTTATGGTTCTGAAAATTGAAATCAAATAGAATTGCAAGAAATCACATGAGGTTTGAAACACTATTAAAAATGATAGTAAGATATATCTTATCTATTAAATTTAATATAAACTTGAAAATCAAATACAAAATTAAAAAGAATCATTAAAATCCTTAGTTTAATTAAAATCATCTATAATTTCATAAAACTTTTATACTTTCTTACTTTAACTTGTTTTTAACTTATGATTATTAAAATAATTAAAATTTTTTTCTTTATATAATTTAATCTATTTTTATTTAAATCTGAATATTTAAATATAATATATAATTTAATAAATAATGATTTTTTTTTTAAAGGAATAGACAGTCTTTATGCTTTATTTTTATTTATATTTTTGGACTTGCAATACAAGATTTATAAATTCATAATATGATATACATCTCTTTTTGTTAGAAAGAATTAAATATATGGCTTATCAAATATAGTCCTTTCACTTAAACTCTTTAGTATAGAAAAATAAATTTAAAACCTATATTATGCTTGAATAATATCTAGCTACTTAGAGAATTTTAAACATCTAATCATATAAAAGCACTACAATTACTATATACAGGTTGGTCTTCAAGTTATTATTAGAATTGGAATACTTGCTTTCCAAGTGTAGCTTAATATACAACAAGTAGAAAATATGTTTTATCTTAAACTTCACTTGAATAACTTATTCAATTAGCTAAATAGCTACTACCTTAACTAAAACCTCTAGTCAAGATTGATTTTTTATCTGATTATCTAGTATTTAACCTTTTCTACCCTTCTAGGATTGTGACAGATTACAGGTTATCCAAGTTTATAGCAATTTTTTATATCTGCGACAAGTAGAAAAAAAAGATAACTATTCTTTACAAAAAGCTATATACATATAGTTGCACTATTTAAATATTTGAATAAAATCTAGTCCAAGTATAAGATAGAAGAGGAAAAAGAAAGATTATTTAGACATGTAATAATGTTGTTAAAAAAAATTGTCAAATGTAATAAAGTTGAAATTTTTTATAAATATTGTTACCTAATCTTGTACAATGGACTTATATTGTTAAGAAATAAGTAAAAGACTTGTATTGTCATTATCAACTCAGTTGTGAAAAAACTAGAATCCTTGATTACCATGTATTACCTTATTAAATTCTCTAATCACTAGTATAACACCTGCACCTTGTTATAAAACACATTAGTATTGGCTACCATATTAGTCTAAATACTATAGATGCAATACTTTGAAGATTCAGATGATAATAATTGTATAATAGTTTCTTAAATGTATCTAGTCTTGTTCATCAATTAGTAAACAATACTGGATTTGATAACAATAAGCATGTTAATCTTTTGAAAAAACTAAACACTTTATTCTTTTTTCTAGGACTTGTAGAAGAAAAAAAATTTTCAAAACTCATGTTTTGAGAAAAGTTGCTATTTTTTAATAGTTTCTGAAAAAAAAAATTTGTTGGCCAGAGAAGTAATGAAATAGAATAGTGTTTCAAAAAAAAAAAAAAAAGTCTAAAGAAAAAAACTTTCAAGAAAAAGAAAAAACCTAACTTTGACAAGGAAAAGATAAAGGAAAATGAAAGTGAATAAGTTAAAAAAGTAAAGTTTAAGAAATAATCTTTCTTTTTCCTCTTCTATC